CTTCCAAGCTGTTCTAAAACACACCGTAGAAATTTTCAAGCTGAAATTTCAATATTTTGTTAAAAACATCGACGGAATGGACCAACTTTTCGAAGTTTCGTTTTCGCCGCTTAGCGCTAGCGGTAAAGCACATTCAAGGTACTGTAAACACCCTGTATACGTACGGTGGATTGCTGACGAATTTTTTTTAGATGCGGTAAATGTCGAAGGTACATGAAACTAATACAGGCCAAACCTCAAAGACTGCATTGTCCACAATGCGACGAGACGTTCAGTTTGCCTCAAAATGGGACGGTAAAATTGTTCAAGGAATTAAAATGCCCTTTGGACGATTTCGAGTTACTTTGCTGGACGATGGGAAATAAAGGGAAGAGTTTTGTTTTTTGTCCTTATTGCTACAACAATCCACCTTTCAAGTGAGTAACAAAACATAAAATTTAGCTTAAATATATAGCTCAATAAGTCCCAGGTTTAGAAAAAATCATGATTTAAAAAATAATCAAAAATCTATAATTTTTATTTAAAAAATCAAAAATCATCGATTTTTATTAAAAAAATCAAAAAAATTAACATAATTTTTTATGTTGTTTCTATTCAAGAAATAATAATTGTTTGATTTTAAAAACTATTTCTAAAATTAAAAAAAAAAAATCTAAAATTTAAATAATTCTTTTGTTAAAAATTTTGAAATCCTGGTAAATTTTAAGATTTTTGTAAATTTTGATTTTAAAAATTTTGATCTACATTATTTTGCCACCTTTTGGCATGTTTAAAAGTTTAGTAAATTTCAAAAACTTTTAAAACAAATTTTGGATATTTTTAAAAAGTTCTTAAATTTAAGAATTTGAAAAATTTATTTTGGAAATTTTTGATGTCAAAAATTTTGATATTTTGAAATTTTTGTAAATTTTGGATATTTTAAAATTTTGAATATTAATTTACATTATTTTATCTACCTACATTATTTAGATGTTGGAAATTTTGGATATTTTAAAATGTTTGCAAAATTTGAATATTTGAAAAATTTTGAATTTGTTATCTACATTATTTATGTTTGATTTTAAATTTTTAAGGTACCTGCGCTTAAAATTTGGTAAATTTTGTATATTTTGAAAATTTGTGGTATTTCGAATAATTTTAAAAATTTTGAAATTTTGATCTACATTATTTTGCCACTTTTTGGCATAATGTTTAAAAATTTATTAAATTTCTAAAATGTTTAAAACAAATTTTGGATATTTTTAAAAAGTTCTAAAAATTTAAAATATTTATTTTGGAAATTTTTGATTTAAAAAATTTTGATATTTTGAAATTTTCTAAAATATTGAAAATTTTGGATATTTTATTTATTTTTTTAATTTTGAATATTTAATTACATTATTTTATCTACCTACATTATTTAGATTTTGGAAATTTTGGATATTTTAAAATGTTTGCAAAATTTGAAAATTTGAAAAATTTTGAATTTGTTATCTACATTATTTATGTTTGATTTTAAATTTTTAAGGTACCTACGCTTAAAATTTGGTAAATTTTGTATATTTTGAAAATTTGTGGTATTTCGAAAAATTTTAAAAATTTTGAAATTTTGATCTCCATTATTTTGCCACTTTTTGGCATAATGTTTAAAAATTTATTAAATTTCTAAAATGTTTAAAACAAATTTAAAATATAAAAATAATAAAAAGTTCTAAATATTTAAAAAATTTATTTTGGAAATTTTTGATTTAAAAAATTTTGATATTTTGAAATTTTCTAAAATATTGAAAATTTTGGATATTTTATTTATTTTTTTAATTTTGAATATTTAATTACATTATTTTATCTACCTACATTATTTAGATTTTGGAAATTTTGGATATTTTAAAATTTTTGCAAAATGTGAATATTTCAAAATTTTGAATTTGTTATCTACATTATTTATGTTTGATTTTTGAACTTTTAAGGTACCTAGTAGGTACTTTTTTGAATGTTAAATCTTTGATTTGTACAAAACTTTCAAAATAATATATTATACAAAATTTACAAAAAATTTAATAATTCAAAATTTCGATTTTTTTTTTTAAATTTCGAATTTTATAAAATCTTTGATTTGTACAATCAAAGATTTTGCAAATTTTGAATATTTTAAAAATTTAGTAAATATTTTGGTAATTTTGATGTTTAAATTTTTTTTGATATTTTGAAAACTTGGTAAATTTTAAAATCTTGTGAATTTGGGATTGGATATTTTGAAAATTGTCCGAATTTTTGGAATTTAAAAAAATGGAAAATTTGGATTTAAGATTTTGAAGTGAATGTTTTAAAAATTTTGAATATATTGTATATTTTAAAATTATACAAATGTATGTACATAATAATATAAAAGAAACCATCAGCGACCCCAAAAACCCAATAATGAACATTTTCTGGGCAATAAACTTTTTTTTTTTCAAAAGCCCGCCATTTTAAATTTGATAATTTTGATATTAAATTCTTCATTTTGGATCCGCTATTTGTTTTTTGAACATTGTAATGATATTTGTAATCAGCGACCTTTTAAAAACCCTTGTATACACATCTGCACTTTTATTTGTGATTTTCAACCAATTTTGGGTGAATGAAATAATTATGTTTTACATGTATTTATATTTTATTTAGCGACACGAAAAAGGGCAACGGTTGTAATTCCTGTACGCACCCGTCTTGCGCATACAGTTTAAATTCGAACGGGGTATGCGCTTGCGCGGAATGCGAATACGGAGTCCTCGTTTTGGACCCATCGTCCGGGCCCAAATGGAAATTGGGGTGCAATAGGTATTTACAATTCTTTTTCCGTCATTTTCCTTTTCAAACTGATTTATTTCCTTAGATGCGACACTATAATAAACCTCTTCGACGACGCGCAAAAAATAACCGTGCTCGAAGATACGTGCGATTGCGGCTCGCAAATTGTAAACGTCGAATACAAAGCGGAAAAGACGAAGTTACCGAACGGAGCTTTGGAAGCGAAAGGTTGCGTTTTCTGCTGCAACGAGTTCGGGAGATTGGTTGACAAGCCAAAGGCGGCTGTGGCCTCCAGGGCTCCCAGACCCTTCAGGGGCGGCAAAGCGGCCGGTGGTGGGGGTAGGGGGCGAGGCAGGGGGGGCAGAGGCCGCCCCCCAAAGGATAAGATGGCGCAACTGGCTGCTTATTTTGTATAAAAGTGTTTTTTATACCTACTAATTTTTTTTGGTACTAATCCACACTGATATTACTAAGAATTATACATTAGACTGGGCCAAAAAAATCGACTATTTTTTTTTTGTAAATTATATCGAAAATATTGTTTGGGGTAACAAAAAAAATTATAATATTAATATTAAGAGGTCTATCATCGCAATTTTAGATTTTTTTTCCTGAGCGAGTTTTTGTCTCAGAACTCCCAAACCATTGAGTTTAACAAATTTGACTTGAGAATATTTTTTGAAGAAAATTTAATGCTCTACAAAAAAGGTTTGATTGGAATTTCCCGTCAGATGAACCGTTTTCTTAGTGCTCATTCATAATGGACGTAACCATAAGATGCCCGTAAGAAATACGTAAAACGTAAAGTTGAATATTAACAAAACCAGTGTGCCTGTTTATAATGAATAGCCGTAATTTTTACGTTTTACGTTCGAACATAAGATCTTATGGGTGACCGTAAAAAATACGTAAAGTTGAAATCATCTCAACTTTACGGGTTTCTTATGTATGAATTTTAGTAACTTTCATGATTTCACTAGAAAATTGTTGGTAGCAATCGGGGTAGTAGCCATGCAAACAGATGACAGATCTTTTTCAAGTGTATTCTGGTGTATCCACAGAACAAACAATCTAAAGAACCATTCCTTATCCTAAAGTTTTAGTTCAAGTATTATTCGACGAAATTCGCCCTTTTTTTCTTCTCTTTGCCAACGTATATATCGCTCATTACACTAATAATTATAATAACACTGATAGTTTTAACTTAATTTATATTTATAATTATAATTATTATTAGACGAAATCTGTCAATGCTGCCATTTTAGTGAACTTGGACATGCGCGCCTTATTAATATATACATAAGGCATACGTTCATTATAAACACAACTCATTGTTACGTACAAATTATGGTGATATTATGTTTACGTTTACGTTTACGTTTACGGGCATCTTATGGTTACGTCCATTATGAATGAGCACTTACAATCATGCCTTAAAAATTTATATAGTTTTACAATTTGATCTTTTAACTTTGGAATTTTGTAATTCATGTAAAAATCAGTATCCTGAAAAAAACCGATAAATATTCTTATGGGAAATGAAATTCTCTACAAAAAAGTCTTTTATCATTTTTGGCTAAATTCACTCAATTAAAAGTTATTCAAGGTTAAATTTGAAGTCAAAACGAAATTTTACCCTTGAATAACTTTTGATTGAGTGAATTTAGCCAAAAATGTTAAGAGGCTTTTTTTGTAAAGCATTTGATTTTCCATAAGAATATTTATCGGTTTTTTATAGATACTGATTTTTACATGAATTAAAAAATTCCAATTTAAAAGATGAAAATGTAAAAGTATACCAATTTTTAAGGCATGATTTTAAGGAAATGGTCCATCTGACAGAAAATTTCACTTTAACCTTTTTTTGAAGAGAATTGAATTTTCTTAAAAAAATATTTTCTAGTCAATTTTGTTAAACTTGCTGAGGAAAAAAAAATTAAAATTGCGATGATAGACCTGTTAATATTAATATTATGGACTCAAACTTTCACAATAATTTTTTTTTGTCGCCCCAAACCATATTTTTGATATACTTTAAAAAAAATAGTTGATTTTTTTGGCCCAGTTCATTATACATATAGGTTTATTTATTAATCTACTTTGTTTTTGCAATAAAAATCTAACACTGGTATTAAGTGCATTATTTATATTTAGTTGCAACCCCTCCCCTTAAGAATTCTTAATTGAAAATAGATTAATTAAAAATAGAAATAATTGTCTATGTAACAGTGGAAATGTCGGCTACATTGATTGGACGTGTTTTGCAAAAGGTAAGATGATTTTATTATTATTTTTTTTAATACTTAAAATAATGTATATTTAAAAATTTGTGATATTTTTTATGTACCTATGTTTAACAAATTTTAAGAATGACGTACCTACTACACCCAAAAGTCCCACCTTGACATTTGAATACAAATAATTGAGGTTATCTATCTGTCAGTTTAACGCTAATTTTTAAAAATATATTACAAAAAATAAATAAAAACTAAAATACCCTTCTTTTTTTATTTACTCATCCAGCTATTAGCTTAAGCAATGATTACAAAATTTAGTACCCATTTTAAAAACTCCACAACCACAAAAATATTTTTTTTATTTTTTTTTTCTTTCTGTTTATTCAGTTGAAATTAGGACAAGGTCACAGGTTACACTTTAAACATTCAATTTTTGTAAATAAATCCAAAAGCACTTCCCTTAGTTAAGATATTTACAATCTGGGCCCATAACCTAAAATTTGAAAGAAATGCACTAGATTCTGTCATAAGATGCCAGATTTTGTTTTAATTTACGAAATGACATAATAAACAATTAATAAAAACGCCAAATTAACAATTTCCATTGTTGATTTTATAATTATGCTAAATTTAAATATAATTTGGCAACTTTTTTGACAGAATAAAGGTTATTATAAATTATTTTTAGTCTTTAGAATTTAAAACTGCGTTCTTCCCTACCTAATTTGTTTGTTTACTTTTCCCAATACATATTTTCAGCATCTTTTGCAAACACAAACCTTCAAACTTGTACTTTTTGATTTAGAACATAGAACACATTTTAAAATGTCAAAATCGCAATTTAAAAACTAAAACATTCTAAAATGTCTCATTTTAGAAATTTCAAAGTTTAAAAGGGAAAGTAAAACCTTAGAGTAGGGAAGATTGTGGATGGCATATAGCAAAGTACATTGTACGTATTTCAGGGCTCACGGGAAGCCTTAAAAGGCGCGAGAGCTTACAGCAAACCAACAGAAGCGATTCTGCGCAAGAATACTGCGTACCAAGAAGATAATGGCGTCCCGGTTTACCTGAAATCGGGGTTTGGAGATAAAGCACTCTTCATTGTAACTGCTACTTTGATAGGCATGGGAGTGATTCAAAGTTACTACACATTGATATCCATGGCAATGGGAAAGAAAAAATGAGAGTTATTGGTGTGAATATGTTTGTAGTATATTTGAATAAATAAATAAGCTATGGTATAATTTGTGTTGATTTATTTAACATTTAAATTAAATTATATTAAAAAACTTTACATTGTATTTACAAGTTGCATCAAAGTTGCCTGAAAGAAATATATTAATATTGATAATTTCAACAACAAAAATCATTTGTTACCTTCTTTCCCTCAATGGCAGTGTATTTCTTGGGGGGTTGGAACTTTTCAACAACACTCCTTGATCTCCCTGATCAACATTATAACCCTTATCATATTTCATACCAGGAGCCTAGAAATCATAAAAATGTTTTTTAGTAACGATTTCGATTGATTATTTCTTATATCATTGATTAAGAAACTCAACGCTTAAATGCTTATATAGTTACGTTAGTGTGTGTATTTTATCAAAGGGATCATGGTGAATTATTGTGCTTTTAATTGTAAATAAAATTCAAGAACTAAATCGTTGCATTTTCATGTTTTGCCAAAAGATCCAATTCGGTAAGTACATTTGTTGGTGCAGAATTAACTAATGATAACTTTACCTAATATAATTTATATTTAAGTTTGGACAGTTTTAAGAAATTAGTAAACAATACAAACATAACCTTAAAATCGATCATTTTTATGTTGAGTTCTCTAAAAACGCCGACAACTGCATTTTAAACAACAAATATACCTACGAATTCATGGCAACATAATATTATATATAATACATAATATAATGGTATTTTACCGTTGAGTGGAGACTTTCTTAATCAACGCTTTTAATCGTGCTAAATGCTGTTTAAATTTAGACGACTTATTTGTTTGACGATTTTTACTGAATTGAAATGTTTACACTTTTTACGTTAATCACTACTAAAATGTGTTAATTATTGTATCTAATAGGAACAACTTATATTTACAGAGACTGTATGCAATTTATTTCTTCATTCAGATTAACACTGTTTATTGGAAAACCGGTAAAAACTCAACCCAGGATTTCCTCTCGAAATACACCCAACAACACAACAAATCGAGCCACGGTTTTTTTTCCGATATTTTTTAACATTTTCCGGCTTTATTCTCAAAAACACTCGTTTGTAACAAAAGCGTTTGACAGCTGATTATTAAAAGTTTAGCGTATAAAAATATATAAAAAATACTGTTTACTTACACTTTGTAATACTTGGTAGTATCTATCGGCATCTTCAGCTTCTATCATTAATTCTGGTACTTCATAGCAAGGAATATTAAATAGACTCATTAATTTTTCCTTTTGGTCTGCATACCTATAAAAATAAAACATATTTTAAGAGAATTTACAAAAAAAAATAAGAAAAATTAAATTAACTCACAAACGCCTTAGTACATTCCAATCTTCCTCTCTGGCTAAATCCCAATCCTTCATTTTGGGATCTTGATAGTCATAATTATCAAAATCGATTCTTTCAATATCTTCAATGATAATTTCCACTTCCCCCTGCTCAGACCAATCATAAACCAACAACTCAGAGTGTGTGCTAAAAAAACATAACCTCACTCTAATTTCACAATTTTTTAACTCAATACATACCTAATAGTCTTCAAATATTCCTGCTTGTAAACCTTCTCCATGCACTCTAAATATTTTGGGGTTATAACAGGAGAATTCTTCTCCCAACTGATGCCTCGCTTTTGAACGTTTTCCATGACTTTTTTAACGGGCATATCGAGGTAGATCACCAAATGGGGCCTCAATAACTCCCTCACTGTATTATCGCGGTATTCGTAATACTTCCTGCGAGCTAAAAAGCAAATTAATAACATTAAACAAAAACATGATTTCCATGTAATTTTTACCTCGTTTGGACAAATATCCGGAACTGTACATGGCCTCAGTGAACACATAGTCGGATAAAACGCACCTATCCAAAACGACACCCTGCCCAGTGCTCAAAATGTGCGCCAAAGCATCAATATATTGTGAAAACCTATCGACATAACGTTAGACAAAAAAACACAAAAACCGCTAAAATTACTTAATTTCGTATATTTCCAGCTGCATTCTCGCAGTCAGCATGTTTTGTGGGTTCCTCATGAAATCCATAACATCGAAACTCTTACAACCCTCCGGCATTTCATTGTCGAGTGTTCGCAAGTCAAAACCGTAATCGTTTATGTAATACATGTCTAAATTGGCTTCAGGTAGGTACAACATACCCATCTCTTTAGCTAACTCTTGTGCGAACTTACTTTTACCTGCGGCTATAGGCCCCTCAACAACCAACAGCTAAAATATGGTAAATATCATAATGTTAGGTTAGAGTTTATCAGAACTCTCACCTTAGAGTTCTCATCCATTCTAGGCGTAGTCCTATCGATTAGAGATTTCAAAAAACCGTATTTCTTCGTGTTGTAAGGGTACGGTTCAGGTTTTTTGGGCCTATCCCCTTTCATCATGGTTTTACTGGTGATAGTTCTCAATAAATGCGTCGTTGGGTTGTCATTTTTAAGCAACAAATTGTTACCGTTTTTGCCTACAAAACGGCACACTCCTACACGAAATAAACTTGCCATATCTAAAAGGGGCCCCACAACACTTTTACATAACAAATTGACAGATGTCAAATGTCAAAAGTTGCGTAAACTGGAGAGCAATGCGCATGCGTCGGCGTGGTGCATTTGAACTACTTTGTGATTTTACGATTTAAATTGTGTTTTATTTGTTTATTTTTATAATATACCATAGTTTAATTTTAACTTTACATAGTTTAAAATGATTTAATATTATAAATAATATAACATATATTTATATAATTTTCAAATAATTTAGTATAATTTCGCACTGTCAAGTTGTCATATTTGTTTTCCTGTAAATCCCCAAATAGTAAAAATGCTTGTATACCGGCTTCGTTATTAGTGCACAAATTATTAAATATGGATATCTTCACAATTTTTGCTTTGTTTTGTCTTTCTGTTGCAACCAATAACGGTTTAAGCATTCAAGAGATTAAAAACAAGTTCAAAAACAATCCATGCATACCAGGTACCTACAATATTAGTAAACATACTTATTTTTTACTATTTTCTACTGTTTTAGCTTATATTGCTTCAAGTGGGGACTCCATAGACATCATTGACGATAGTAATGCAAAAATTAACGCTTGTTAATGTGATTTTAATAACTTTACCCTGTTTAAGGTTATATTGAAGAAAAACCATATCATTCAATCGGGGAAGTTTTATTCGACAAACAAGCTCAGACTAAACTCGCACAGCTACACGAGTTGGCCGTTTTTAATGGACTTAAATACAAATACACTCTTATCAAAGAAGAAGTTAAAAATCAGTGTTTATTTAATGTCGTGTTAATTTTATCGTTTTAGGGCCCAGCACATAAAAAAGAGTTCACCATTCTTCTTAAATTGGGAGAAGATGAATATGAAGGTACAGGAAAAAGTTTGAAGGCAGCTCAAAAGGAGGCAGCTTCTAAAGCATTGCAAAATTCAGTATTAAAACACCCCACACCAAAAAATATCAACGATCTTACTCCAACTGTTTTATTAAACAATATTGCCAACCAACTTGGTTTGGAAGTTAAATATGAGTTCATCAATCCATTTGTAAGTTTATTAAAGTTTTTAGTGTTTAAAAAAAATATATACAGGGAATAGGCAACCCAGATTACAAATCGATTTTAATTTATGATTAATCTGGTATTTTAAATTTAAACATTACTTTTTTTAACAAAGATAAATCAGGTAACCCAAACCACAGAAGTAAAACCAAAAAAATCGTACATACAAAAAATGAACGACACTCTCGATGATCAACACATCAAAATGGCAAAATCCATAGACCAGCACCATAAAGGCCCATTTACCGTGGTTGTAACGTTGGGAAACGAGGAATTTATTGGCACAGCCCACACAAAACAAGAAGCCAAACATAAGGCAGCCACAACAGCTTTGGAAAGCATAAAAATAAATAATATGCATGAAGAATCACCCTGTTTTAAAGATGGTAAGTAAAAATCTACCAGCCATGACATTTTATTAGGTTGCCATGGCAACATGTCAGGTTGCCATGGAAACATGTTAGGTTGCCATGACAATGGTATTCTTTTGTCAAACATAACCTTGAATTGCAGAAAACGGTTCAGAATGCAGAAAAGCTAAAGAAAGTGTTAAAAATCCGATTTCCAGGGTTTACGAAGCGGCTCAAAAAAATAATTTGGTTGTTTCTTTTAATATTGTCGAAGAAAGTGGTGCAGCGCATAAAAAAGAGTTCACTACAGAGTGCAAGTTGGGTGATTTTGTAACTTTTGGGAAAGGGGGTTCAAAAAAGGCTTCTAAAAAAAATGCTGCAGAAAATATGGTAATAAATTTGCCCGAATTGGTTATGAATGAGGAAATAAATAATGTTGCAAGTGTTAATAATAATTTGGAAAAAACTACAAAAAAGAAAAATAAGAAAAATAAAGTGAATAAAGAAGAAAATAACAATATTGATAAAAATGAGGATGGAACATTTTTAAACAATATTATTGGAAGCATTTTTGGTAATAATGACCAAAATGAGGTTTCTTCAAATGATAACATTGATAATGATAATGAAAATGTAAGTAATTTTAATTAAAATTTTAATGGAAAATCCCACCTTGAAATTTAAATACAGTTAATTGAGGTTATCTATCTATCTGGATAAAGCCTAGGTCTTACTTACTTAAAACAAAAAATATATAATTAGGTATTAATACTACAATACCTACAATTGTATTGCATTATTTTTAGAAAATTAGATGACATTTATACTGACATAACCTCAAATATTTGTCTCCATTTCATAGATATTAAATTATGCTCCATTCTTTATCTTATTTATATCTAAAACAATCGAATTTACTTTCTATAAAAAGCAATAACCAATCATATCACAGCATTTTCCACAGCACACTAGAAGGAATGCTGTGATTGGATTATTGCTTTCTATGGAAGTCGCTAATTTTAAAACTTCGTTATTTTAGTCGGTTGACAAGAAAAATAAAAAAATCACAAACGTCAAATCCATGCAAATAACTTTATTGGAATTGGCTAATTCCAAGCAATTTGAAGTAAATTATTTGGATTTGACTTCGAAAAACGATAAAAACGAAAAGTCGTATACTTTGTTGTCTATGGCGATCAATCCGACTGTTGTAAGTTGGAAAAATCTTTTGTTTTTTTTGTTGTAATTTTGTATTTTTAAGCTTTGTTTTGGGGAGGGTATAAATCCAAAATCTTCTAGAGAAGTTGTTTCTCTGCTTGGTTTAAAGATGTTAAATACACTGGGTATTCTGGATGTTTACATGGAAAATCTTGTTGTGCTTCAAAATGACCCAAGGTATTTTTTTCCTGTAATAAAAATTGTAGAGAAAATATTTGTTGTTTTTTAGCGATATTCCTGGGGAAAGCATTAGTGTTATTTTAAGCCCTGACCCTGTCAAAAAAATTAAGTAATTAAGGTAAAACTGATTCTACTAAATGTGATTTATTATTATATAAAATAACATAATGTTTGTTAGAAATAAAACTGAGTTTTACCAACAAAAAAATATTTTTTTATTTATTATTTTCATCCCAACATATATAGGGGTGTTCTAAAATTCGTCTCTAGATTATTTTGTGTCCTTCACGCAACTGTTGTTTTTGAATCTAAAAAACAAGTTGGAGGAGTTGAATCTCACTATTTTAAATCAAAGTGAAGATAAAACTTCTCCACCTACTTTGTAGAATTCTATATTTTCGTTGATTTCCTGAAAAAAATTCGACATTTGGAAACATAAAAATTTGGATTTTCTTTTTTCGTTGTTTTTTAATCTAAAAGGCAAGTTGGAGGAGTTGAATCTCACTATTTCAAATCAAAGTGTAGAGACCACTTCTCCACTGGCCTTAAAAATTCGTTATCATCGTCGATCGTATCAATTTTATTTGTGACACCTTACACCAAATACCAATAATTATTGAACAAACACTCAAAAAGTTTCATCAATATTTGATCAAGCATTAACTGATAAGAGTATTGTAACAAGTGGAATGTATTGGGACTACATGACTACAAGAAAGTATTAAAAATATTAATTAAAGAATTGAACAAAATACAAAAAATTGACGTATACTGGGTGTAACTTAAAGTAACCAACACATGGAAGAGTTAGATCTGGCATTATATTATTGCTAAAATCTGGCACTTCCACCTATTAGTCACTTCATTAGAATAACTTCATAGCTGAAAAAATAAATTTATATTAAATTCCTACCTTATGAATAAACGTTTAAAATTTTATAAAGTCGTTCTACAAAAACACTAATCTGTTAAGTTTTATCTTAAATCACACAATGAGGTAAAAGTAACATTTATACTATTGACAAAGCATTAAGTGTTGTACACTTATGACCAAAAGTATTGCATTTTATCTATTATTGTGATTTTTTATGAAAAATGCTAAAATATAAATAAATAAATTATTTTGCAAAAATATAAAACAATTTTACACCAAAATCTATACAATTTTATTTGAAGTGTTCTTACCGATTTTGAAGAGGTCGATATCTCACGAAAACTGACTTTAATTTTGTCTTGATAGGTATTTATATAAATACCTTGCCCATATTGATATTAGATATCGATAAATATTAAACCAATTGCGTTCGAAAGATTTAAATTTTATTTGTGAAATTACGCAACATGAAAAATTTATCTGAATTTTCACGAAAAAAATTGATAAAAATTCTTGAACAAACATTGATTTTCTTGTTTTTTATATTCTTGTTACATTGTGTGGACAAATAATGCAATCAGGTATTTTATTGCGATATTATAAAAAAATCTGTACAGGTGGAAACAAATATTCAAATCCCCAAGAAATAATAAACAAGTGAGCAAAATAGCATTTTGTCCACGGGCTGAAGTTAGCTTTAAATTAAAATTGAAACAAAGTGACGTTGACAGATGACTAATGTTAGATAAAATATTAAATAAGAATGGCTTAAAATTCTACTTTACTGAATTGGCGTTAAGTTAAAATTGAAAAAAAGTGAGATTAGAACTTTTTGACATTTGTCAGATGTCTCACATATTTTGTTTCTATAACAATTGTTTTAGATGTTGATTTTTTTGTGTTTGTGTTTTCTAATTTTTTTATAATTTAAATAATTGCGTGGGGTAGAATCTTTCTTATAAAACAAATCCTTCGATTATTTTTTTAGGGAATGATTAATACTTTTTATGCTCCACATTTCCAATATTTATTTCTAATACATAGATATTTACTTACTAAATTACAAAATTGAAGTGTATTTATTTATTGATTATATCTATCTGAAAAACTACTGTTTACTTAACGCGCTTGAAATTTACCTTGAATTTAATCAACAAAAATGAAACAAAATAATCTTTTTTAAAATAAAAAAATATATTTAATAACCATTAATAACAAAAAATTCAAGAATTAATCACATCGATTACTTCGTTGAAATCAGTGACGTACCACTTGGCCTTGGACTTGACAGCTTGCCGAATCACGTTACCGCCATAACCTAAAACAAATTCGATCAGTGACAGTTAAATGACAGTTGACGGATTCTAACCTATAAAACCATCGGCAGGTGGCGACGCTTCCAAATCGGTGGCACCATCTCCAATTAAAATTACGTTTTGGTAGTTATGGGTCTGTTTTAAGTGGTTAACAACGACAGCTTTTCCGCCGGTACGGGAGGTAGGTTCGTTTTCGTCAAAACCAGCATGTTCACCTTAACAAAAAAAAATTAATAATAATACGTTTTTTGTTTTATTTTAATACCTGTAAAATAGAATGTCAGCCTGTTGGCGAAAATATTTTCATATGGGATCTTCAGCTGGGCCGCTATTGGAGCTATGATGCATTTAAATCCCCCAGATATTAAATACACAGGGATGTTTTTTCCATGTAATAAGTCAACGAGTTTTCTAAAATAATTTGTTTTAATACAAATTTCTTTAAAATGACGTTATAACGCATACTTAACTCCAGGTGTCAGCGTCGGCGGTTGAGTCCTTATAAAATCCTTAACCTGGGTTAAACTGGGTTTAATTATGTCCAAACGTAGTTTAAGAGCTTCCTGGAAAGTCATTGAACCGGTCATAGCTTTGGCAGTCCTAAAAAAATATTTTCCATTATTTTTTCGAAATTTGACCCCTTTTTTAGCACGCCCATGATTAACCAGGTAGGCCTACTCTTGCGAAATCATGCCTACTTTTTGGCATTCAACCGTTTTCCCCAAAATTACTTACAAATTTGCAACCTCGGTGCCTTTATTGCAAAATTTGGCGAGCTCGTCTATTCCCTCTTCCTTTATAACCGTTGAATCGACGTCGAAGCAAACACAATCGGCGTTTTTTAGTATGTTTTGTACCTGGGCTGCCATTTTTACGTTAATTGAACTACTCGCACAATTGTTTTTTATTGTATAAACTATAACGCTTAAAAATCTTACTAGTATGGTAATTTAGCTTTGAAAGGTCAATTCATGTTTATCTTGTATGCGTAACACTGATTTTGATTGTACATTTTATCAGAATATAATGAAATAGCAATAAATAATTACTTAATCAAGATCCCTATGCTCAAATGTCATAATATTCGCAGTTGATATAAAATAACATTTATTTGCTGCATATAAATAACCTTGTTCGAGGAAATAACTCTGTGTTATTTCTTTTTGCTCCATGACATTTTTTATGTATAAAATATATATCCTTTTTCTATGTATAAAATGTGAACAACTTGAATCACGCAATCCACGGAATTTCAAATTTCGCGGTTGTTGTTTTGTAGTGGTGGCAGCACTGCCGATGAGGTTACACGTTGACAGTTTTGACATTCCTTGATAAATAAATTTTACCGGAGTCCTATTAAAGTACAAATAGCAATGAAAGCGTTAAAATTAGGCCTTCTACTGATAGCCACAGTTATTTTGTACAATGTGGACGCGCAGGGAAAACGACAGGTAATTTTTTTGAACGTTTTACAACAGGAAAATTACTGAAAATTGATTTTCAGGGTTCAACCCTTGCTGAAAGGGTTCAGCAGTTAACAGACATGACCAATAAGAGGCCTATTTTAAGGTTTAATGCCAACAAATTCAGGGAATTTGTTAAAACTGCCCCTAGAAATTACTCCGTTATCATAATGTTTACTGCGATGGCTGCTCAAAGGCAGTGCATGGTTTGTAGGCAGGCCAACGACGAATTCTCCGCTGTTGCCACATCTTTCAGATACTCGCAAGCATACAGCAACAAATTATTCTTCGGTGTTGTTGATTTTGACGAGGGTTCAGATATTTTCCAAATGGTACATGGGGGGTTTCATTTGTTGAGGTTATGTTACATGTTTTTTTTTAGTTGAAGCTCAATACGGCCCCAGTTTTTATGCATTTCCCCGCCAAAGGCAAACCAAAGGGGCCTGATACTATGGATATACAAAGGATTGGTTTTGCAGCCGAAACTATATCAAAATGGATTGCTGAACGTACTGATATTCAGGTAAGTTTTTATTTTTTTTATTGTTCAGGTTTAATAATTAAAATATTCAATAAAAAAATCCACACAAAATCTTTTCTGTGCCCTTTTTAAATTTTATTTAAAACGTTTATAACTTAAAACTAAACATTTTTTTTAAACCATATTTAAAGTTTCCTGAAACCCTCTAAAAATCTCTTAATGTCCAAAAACAGGTTTAAAATTGTCTTAATATTAACTAAAAACTAAGAACAACATAAAAATTAACATTTAAATGTTCAAAAAATTGTTCAGTCTTAAATCTTCCTTTGAAATGTCCTAAAATCGTCTTAAAACCACTTCACAATTGGCCCAAAACTTAAAAATGTCCTAAACCATTTAAAATGCCCTTAAATATTCCTATCTATACTTGCTCTAAAATTGACTATCTAAAAACAGACAAAATTGTCTTAAAATTATTTTAATATAAACTTCAAACTATATAAAAACTAACAGATGTTAAAAACTAAAATTTCTTCTTCAAAAATGTCCAAAAACTGTTCTGTAACTGCCCAATCTTTCTTAAAAATGTCTTAAAACTTTTCTAAACTGTTCTTAAATGTCCTAAACTGTTTATTGGCCTTACAACTGTCATAAAAATGTCCTAAATCTGTCTAAAAAGCCCTTAAACGTTTTTTTTTTCAATCTTGCCCTAAAATTAACTGTTAAACCTGTCTTATAATCATCTTAGAATTGTCTAAAACCACCTTCCAGACCTAAAAATGTCTTAAAATTGCCATAAAACTGTCTTTAAAACTACAGAAAATATCCCAGAACAGAATCATCCAAAAATGTTCTATAACCATTATAAAATTAATAATTACTAAATATCTAAATTAGTCTTATTTTTTTTCAACTGTTTAAAATTGCCCCAAAACTGACTAAAAAGTTTCTAAACTAATCTAAAATGCCCTTATTTTTCCTATCTATAGTTGCCCTTAAATTAACTAAAAGCAGGCCTGAAATTGTCTTAAAACAAATGTTCAAAAATGTCCTAAAATTGACCTAAAGTGGTTTTAAATCTTCCTTAAAAATTTACTAAAATCATCTTAAAACTGTCTAAAATTATCCTACAACTGTCATAAAAATGTCCTAAACCTTTGTCAAATGTCATGTTCAATCTTGCCCTAAAATTAACTGTGAAAACTGTCTTAAATTTTAGAACTGTCTTAAACCACCTTTCAGGTTTAAAAATGTCCGAAATTTGCCTTAAAACTGTCTTAAACTCATCTAAAATCAACATAAATAAATGCAAGTCTTAAATCTTTTTTAATATGTCCTTCAAAACTATAAAAAATATCCCAAAACAGAACTGTCTATACTTTCCCTTAAATTAACTGTCAAAGGCAGGCTTCAAATTGTCTTGGAACAAATGTTCAAAGATGTCCTAAATTTGGCCTAAATCGGTCTTGAAATGTCCTAAAAGCGTCTAAAAAATGTATCCAAAACACTGTAAGAAAATGACCAAAAACTTGGAACTGTCTAAAATTAATAGGCGTTAACTTAAGACTATTATTATTTTTTTTTAAATTGTTCTGCAACTCAAAAATGTACCAAAACAGTCCAGTAAATCTTCCTTCTAAATGTCTTAAAATTGTCATAAAACTTTTCTAAAACTGTCTAAAAATGTTTTAAACGTTTATAAACTGTTTAAAATGTCCTACAACTGTCATCATAAAAATGTCCTAAAATTCGGTCAAATGCCCTTAAACATTCCTATTCAATCTTGCCCTAAAATTTACTGTGAAAACTGTCTTAAAATATTAGAACTGTCTAAAACCACCTTCTAGGTTTAAAAATGTCCTAAATTTGCCTTAAACATGTCTAAACTAAACTTATCTAAAATTAACATAAATAAATGCAATCTTTTTTAATGTGTCCTTCAAAACTATAAAAAATATCCCAAAACAGAACTGTCTAAAAAATGTTCTTAATCCAATTTAAGACTACTAAAGTTGTCTAAATTTGCCCTTCAATTTTTTTTAACTGACCTAAGAAGTTTCCAAATTAGTCTAAAATGCCCCTAAATTTTCCTATCTATACTTGCCTTAAAACTGTCTATAAGCAGGCTTGAAATTGTCTTAGAACAAATATTCAAAAATGTCCTAAATTTGGCCTAAATCGATCTTGAAATGTCCTGAAATCGTCTAAAAATGTATCCAAAATGTCTTAAATTGTCCTAAAAACATTTTTAAAAAGTCCCAAAACTGTCTAAAATTAAATTAAATTAAATTTAAGCCAAGATAATTTTAAAAATTTGTCTTAAAAATTTCCAAAAATTTCCAGATAATAATTCAATAATAATTAAACCATTTTCCATTTTCTTAAAGATTCGCGTATTCCGTCCACCAAACTACATGGGAACATTCGCCTTGATAATGTTGATAGCTTTCGTTGCCGGTATTTTGTACTTAACAAGGAACAATTTGGATTTCTTGTGCAACAAAAATATGTGGGGTGTGTGCGCTCTTTTCTTCACCTTAGCCATGACGTCGGGACAGATGTGGAACCACATCAGAGGTCCGCCATTCATGCACAAAAACCAAAACGGGCAGATAGCCTACATACACGGTTCATCGCAGGGCCAGTTTGTTGTTGAAACTTACATTGTTATGGTATTAAGTATCCTTTTAATTAATAAGAGTTAAAATTCCGAATTCAAAAACATTTGTATGAATTTTTCTTAACAATATAGATGCCGCTATTGTTATTGGTGTGATATTGTTAACTGAAGCAGCCAAAATCAAAGGAGATCCAAAGAGGAAGAAGTTCATGGCCATTTCCGGATTAGTTTTACTTTCAGTGTTCTTTTCTTTATTGTTATCCGTTTTCAGGACAAAAACACAAGGCTATCCTTATAGGTGAGTTAAATTAATTGCTTTTACTTTTTCTTGCTGTTTTTCGAGTATCATAATTATCCTATACAGGGTGAGTTTTAAGTTGACGCGTTCCTTTTAACAGTGTGTAGAAATCAGCTAGACAAATAAATATTTTAAGTAACTTTTTTATCAAAACTCAAAAATAAAAAAGTTATAGCCCATCAAAGTTTAATTAAATTTTAAGCCGGTCCTGGCTATTGTTAACGAAAAACATAACCATAAAAATATCAAAATAAACAATGCAAAATGTCATATTTGACAACAAACATAACCATTTAAATCAAATTGACATTTTGCAATAAAAAATGTCATTATTTACTTAAGTTGCAGCATTTGCATTTTGACGACACTCTCCATAAATTAGTAACATTTCCACTAATTCATTATTGCTATAATTATGAGCCATTTTTAACAATAATTGTGGCACAAAAAAACTGACATTTTTCATTGCTAAATGTCATTTTGATTTAAATGGTTATGTTTGTTGTCATAGATGACATTTTGCATTGTTTATTTTGTTATTTTTATGGTTATGTTTTTTGTTAACAATAGCCAGGACCGGCTCAAAATTTAATTAAACTTGGAAGGCCTATAACTCTCTTATTTTTGAGTTTTTATAAAAAAGTTACTTAAAATATTTATTTGTTTATCTGATTTCTACACGCTGTTAAAAGGAACGCGTCAACTTAAAACTCACCCTGTATAATTTGTATTCTAATAACTTAAAAATTTTATACATGTTCTTTGTTGTGATAATATTTTTTTCTGTTTTGTTTTAGTTTCCTTTTTAAATAAAGGCCTCATATATTTAAATAAAAAATATATGAAATCACAGGATTAAATTATTAGTGTTTTTCTAATTGTTGTGATATAAATAAATTGATATATTGAAATAAAACATTCTTAATTTAAATTTGAATTTTATTTATCTTTTGCGATAACTTTATTTTGTAAGAGTGATTTGACTTTACAACAAGTAAATTATGAATATTATTCAGATTTACGTACAGGTATTTGAAAATTTAAATACGAATAAAGCGCCATCTATATTTTAAAACCACAAGTTTTCTCAACTGTATCTGATTATTTATCACAGTTAAGCTATTAAAAGATAGGTGGCGTTAGTGGTACTGCATTTAAATTACTATAAAATATTTCACAAAGTTTTTTTGTTACTTTATAGTATAAAGTTTATACACGTTTAAAGGTTAATAAATAAAACAACACGTTATTTGAATGTATTTTTATTCTTAAGCATAAATAAATTGGAAAAATTCCAGGATATGAGATAAAAAAGTGTAGATAAAATACGTCGTCACATTGTTTAGTAAACATGTTATATTGCAAGGGAAACCTTACATTAAAAACTTAATCGACCAGTTTTAAAGAAAACAGTGTTATGTGTTTCGAAAATGGCCGGCTGGTTTACTTATTTTGAATACGCTTTTTATTTGTCTATGTTGTGCCTTACGGTGCCTTTCAACGTTGAAAAAGAAGACGCTGATTTTTCGGAGTACATAAAGAAGTTTAACAAGAGTTATGACAATGAGACTGTGTTTAATTTAAGATTAGAAGCTTTTAAGGTAAGAATATAATAATATTTTTGTATTCATAGGCAACTATAAATACGTTTTTTTGTTGTAGAATTCTTTAAATAGTATAAATATGATGAACAGAAATAGAACTAATCATTCCGCCTATTACGGTTTAACGAAATTCTCGGACTTATTACCGGAAGAATTCCTCAGTAAACACTTATCGCAAATAGCACAGAATACGATAAATTTGGACGATGACTTCAGCGAATCAAAACATTACAGCAAAAGATCCGCAAGGCGAATACCGAGTAAAGTGGATTGGAGGGTACAAAACGTAACCACCAAAATAAAAAATCAACATAAATGTGGAGCCTGCTGGGCCTTCTCCATCATAGCAACAGTTGAATCGATGTACGCCATAAAACATGGAAAATTGTTGGATTTGAGTGTCCAACAGATGATTGATTGTTCAACTTTAAACAAGGGTTGCGATGGCGGCGATTTGTGCCGATTGTTACAGTGGATAAAGGCGAATAATATTAGGATTGAAGGGGATGATTTGTACCCTCTTAGATTACAAAATATGCAGTGTATCACCAATGCAAGTCTGGGTATTGTAGATGTTGAAGATTACAGTTGTGCTCAGTAAGTATTTTGTGTTGTGGGAGTGATGTTAGTGGTTACTAATTTTGATTTTTTATCCAGTTATTCAACATTTTAGGTTCATAGATAACGAAGACGTTATGTTGGATTTGATAGCCCGTCTAGGCCCTATAACAGTGGCTGTCAACGCCAAAACATGGCAAAATTACGCTGGCGGGATAATTCAATATCACTGCGACGATAACCCGCTAAATATGAATCACGCGGTGCAACTGGTGGGGTACGATTTGACTGCCGATGTACCCCATTATATCGCTAGGAATTCTTGGGGGGAGGATTTTGGAGACGAGGGGTACTTGTACATTGCCTATGGCGGTAACGTGTGTGGGGTAGCTAACGAGGTGGCAGCTTTAAAAGTATTGTGATCTTTTTTTTTAATAAATGATTTTTTAAGTTTTATTATATCCATCTTTATTACATACAAAATCAAAGAGATGGCGCTAGCAGTAGTAAAACAAAATATACATATGGGTGGTTTTCAGTATCTTTAAAGATTCTAATTTAATTTTGAAAAAAACTTGGTGAAATATTCCAGAATGATGAAGAAAGTGCTTTATGTGCATAAAAATAAGACTTGGAAGGGTTTTAAATAAGAAATAAACAAATTTTTAACATGACCGTCGCATCCTTTTTTTTCATGTGATTTTTTATGTTTCATATCCATTCATAATTTTTCCATCTTTAGTCCATACAAAATCAAAAAGATGGCGCTAGCAGTAGTAAAACAAAATATACATATGGGTGGTTTTCAGTATCTTTTAAGATTCTGATTTAATTTTGAAAAAAACTTGGAAAAATATGCCAGAATGATGAAGAAAGTGCTTTATGTGCATAAAAATAAAACTTGAAAGGGTTTTAAATAAAAAATAAACAAATTTTGAACATGACCGTCGCATCCTTTTTTTTTCATGTGATTTTTTATGTTTTATATCCATTCATAATTTTCCCGTCTTTACTCCATACAAAATCAAAAATATGGCGCTAGCAGTAGTAAAACAAAATATACATATGGGTAATGATGAAGAAAGTACTTTATGTGCATAAAAATAAAACTTGGAAGGGTTTTAAATAAAAAATAAACAAATTTTTAACATGACCGTCGCATTCTTTTTTTTTTCATGTGATTTCACACATTTTTAATTGCTCAAAATTAAAAGTATCCCCATATTGTGAATTTTGGGTTAGAGTTTCCACCGGTAAACAACCGACAACAAAAAACATGGCGAGCAATTTATAACTATTTATGTTGCTATTTTATCACTATAAACGGTAAAAAAGTCCTTCTATGTGAAGAAAACGTCGGGCAACGTCAGTTATTATTTTTAGCCTAAACATTAACAATAATGGCTATTTAAGACAATTTTATAACATAAAAAACTCAACAAGAAGATCGCAAATATTGGAGGGACATACGACGGTCATGAGAAACAGGCGTTTTAAAATAAAAAACATAAATTCATAGGATATTGAACTATGGTATTATAAATCGATAAAAATATGCTTGTCTATAGTGAATGAGTTGAAAAATAAAAATCTAAATCTTGTTTACTTACGTTCTTCATAAGTTGAGGTAATTTAACAGGAGTTTTAGGAACTTGATTAGTTCGAAAACAGCATTTTATGTCGAGTAAATAGAGTAGAGCCTTTAAACTCCAGTAAATTGATTAAAACCGCTGGAGCCAAATCAATTTATATATACGTATGTTTCGCGGTTGCGAGATAAATTGAATTTCAAACGCTATTCTCGAGAATGTGTCGAAATTTGTTGAGTAGTTTACCTACTAGTGTCTACATGTCTCAAGTAAATTAATGGAATTTTTATTGATTTTACTCTTAATGTGTTTTTAGTTGGACTTGATAGTACTCATTTGCCATTGGAAGGTTAAGTTTTTATTTTCGTGTCAAAAGTTTTTTTTGATCCAAGTATCACGTTGAGCAATTCTCAAGTGATACCCCTTCAATTTTTTTAATAGAGCTAAAGAGAAGATATGATATTGGAAAAATGTTAGAAGACCTCGGACCGCGGTCAAACATTATTTTCGCGTAAATAAACAAAGTTTTAGGTATACGAAATGAGTTGTGGGGACGAATATTCGTACCCTAAACTTTTTTTTATTACAGAAACTTAATTGATGACTGGAAATTCCCCTTAGCAATTTCGCCCCATCTTGTGCGTTTAATAATTAGTTTCCAGACATGCGGGTTGTGAACTCATAATGGTGAGCATTTCCCTCCTTACGAACACGTTAACTAACTAATATTACAGTTTGAGGAAACGATTTAAATTTAATTAAGGCCGTTTTAATAACATTTGTAAAGTGATCTTAAATTTCGTATCATTTGTCCAGTTGTCAAACATTGTCGATACTTACTATACTACCTATAACTTTGTCTTGGATATGTATATTATACAATATAGAGTGTCACTCTATAAAATTAAACAAACATAAAACACCCCTTATAATTTATGGCCAAAAAGTTTGTGTATTATATAGTATATACGTAGCATACGTAAAAACCAAACTGGTATATCACTTGGCTTACTTATCTGGGTTATTTTGGAAAATGGAAGCACCGAATGAAGGTTTATCCAGCAGGGAAATACAATATTTTTTTAGTCCTTGTTTGTTCGACGTGTCCTTTGAGCTTTCCGATTTTTCTTCGTTGTTGTCGGAAAGACTTTCTGGAATTAAAAACAAAATCCGTTTTTACAGGTTTTGTTAGGTTTACGAGCATAAAAGTGAAGTGTTTGTAGGGTTACAATATTTTTGTCATATAGAAATTTTCTTTTGCAAGGCAAAGGTGTAATGTAAGTAAAAAGATTGAAAATTGGTCCATATACATTAATGTGTCATTAATTTTTGCTTATGAAAAAGTATAAAAGTTTTTGGCTATAATTGAAAAGTTGCTACAGACCAAGCAAAACATTCATTACCCTGAGACCAAGTCGGTTTTATTTCTTTTGAATAAAATTCATGAAGTAAATAATTAGTTATACTTACCTTAAAAATGTCTTTCAAAATGGTAGCTTTTCCAAATATTCGATACGAAGTCATCAACAAATATTAGAAACAATAGAATGGAACAATGTAAGTCTTTTAGTAATTTTAAATCAAGATTAAAGCAAGGCAACTACTTAGATAAAAGTTAGTTTCTAAGAATGTTAGTAAACGCCCAAGCGAGTTATTCTCCAAGGATAAGGGATGTTAGTAGGGATAATAAATAAATAAAGTTAAATCAAGCAAACATAATGCTTTATTAGATACACCACTGCAATAATACACGCTTATAACAAACTGATATGATTAATCATCAAACGTTGTACTTAATTTAAGATATCAATTAAATGTACTAATAATAAATAATAATAAATAAAATAAAATTCAATTTTCAACGACAAAGTCTGAGAAAATGTTCAAAAGAATTATTTTTCACCCGAACTATTGACTAGGCATATTTTCAACAATGAGAACTTCTTGATAAAAACTTATACTAAATAAACAAAAAAAGGAAAAACGATAAATGACTAGAGCTCCGCCAGAGAGTTCATAATTAGTTATTGCTTAAAGTTTTCGGGGTTAAGGGACAAGAGAAATTGCCCTTTGGTTCAGACAGACAGTTTCTATAGAACTTGACAGGGGTAATAATAATTCTCGTGGCGGATCTATCGCTGTTCACAAAATAGCAACTTAGTAAATAATAGGTATGTAATCATTTTTTTGTTTCGTCAAACATTTTAAAAATATTTTATCATCATTACAACATATCAAGAATTATTATTATTATTTTTTTCGTAACAACAGTGTATACATGAAATGCTAGCCAGATAATGTGCTCCATAATATAATATGAATTTACATGCACACCACAATTATTATTTTCAACCATCATATACAAAATAAATTTTCTGTAAGAAAATATCTAGTTGACAAAAAAACTTGAATCGAAAAAGATCACTTCATCTTATAATAACATTTTGATTAACAACAGTTTTGAAAATACTTTGGAATAGACAATCAGCAACCCCTGCCCCCAAGCAACGTACACCAGTACATCTCACCTTTGTTGCTTGAACGCCAAAGTATATAAGTGTGCGTTGCCGGAGAGGGTTAGTTGCTGAATTTGTAAACAGATGGAGTAACATTATTGTCCACTGCCGCAATATAACCTTTAAGGCGCATGCCTTAAACAGTGGTGAGCCACTGCGCACAAACAGAGACAAATACAGAGAGAGAGAGTACTATAGGCCAACAGAGCACCGCGCCATCTTGCGGCGCGGCCAACAAACTGCTCAAAAATATATTATGTATTACTCACAATATTGCCATGTTAATTTTGCAAAATACGATACCTACTACAACAAACACATCAGTCTTAAAGTTCAGAGAGAGAGTTAAAAAAATTGACCGGTGAAACACTCGGTACATAGGCGTCGGCACAGTTTTATACAACACGCTGTATAGCAAAAAAGCTGCCAAAAATACAAATGCAACGCAGAGGCGCGCCACACGCAACACGTTGAACGATGTTTCGGTGTTTTTCGTTGATCAACCAATTTTAAAATTTTATGCTAATAAAACCTCTTTAAGGCTGTGTTGGCACATTCGTTAAATACTTATCTAAGGCTTAAAAATTCTTCTCGAGAAAGGAAGAAAAAGATTGTCAATATGTTTACAATTAATTACAATAAAAAATCCTAACTAACAAATTTAACAAAGTTTTAATAATTGAAATTTATCATTAACAATTTAGCCAAAAATACACCGAAACATTTTTCATAATACCCTTTTTCTAAATGCACGCCTCTGCTACAAATACAACTATAGGTTACTGAAGCAAGTGTACGCGGGGCAAGAAGCACATTATCAGGGGCGTACCGACCTCCATTGGCGTAGTACGCTTTTATATTATTAAAAGTCGGAAGATGGCCGATTCTCAAAAATCGGCCAGATATGTTTTTAATAAAACCAACTAACACATGCGCGCATCATACATTGGTATCGCTCTAAATATAAACAGTTTAATTTTGGGAGGGGGTAATCACTCTTAATTTGGTGTTAATGCTTAAAATCAAAGCAAGTTGGTCCCTTGATATGTCAAAGTTTTTCATTATGGAATATCAATATTTCTACTTTCATCATTTTGGCACAACAAAAATCCTTGTTGAATTCCGATCGAGCCATACCAATGCGAAATGCTTTTTTAAAGTATTTTTAATAAATAGCTACCCAATAACATACAGATAAAAACATGTAATACTATTGCTATCAAATATAGATTTTTCTGCATTCGTGTGCGACCTATTGGCAGGAACGTTAACGGACAAAGCGGGCTATGCTAAGTTGGCGTGTCCAAAAAACGGCCCGCGGGACTCTAAGTGCCACAAAAACGTACACAAAACACCACAAAACAAATTCCATGCATTTTTTAGTCTTATAAAACCATGTTTGCTCCTATAAAGCCGCTATATAACCAATTAATTTTGATAAAACCTTTATAAAGCTCTTATGTAACCAAATTTGATAAAATGAGCCTAAATTGTGCGTTGGTTAATTCTCGGCAAAATTTGGTTTGTGATTTTTTTTGTGTTTTGTAAACGTAGAGCCAAAAACAGTCGCGGGCCGTTCAGGGATGTGCAGCCTCACAACAATGAAAACACTCAATATATGTATTCCTATATTCAAAATGGTGGATAAACTAGATCAGTCCTAACAAGTTAAACCTACTAATAAACGCTACTTATTTTTTTCGTCATCAAAAAGAGAGAGGAGGGTCGCTCTTCTCCGAGTTAGTTAATACAACCATTATAGGACGTACAAGCACATAAAAATACAATATATTATTTAATATAAAACGACTAAGCTAGAGTACAATGTAAGTAAGCAGCAAATCTTTTTTTAAATATTTTTGGTCGGTTTTCCAGCCAACAAGCAAGGGAGAGTATATAATTGGTGTATTAGAAACAGTCAATACAGTTGAAGGCGAAATTTGCAAAAAACACATGCTAAAGTATCTGAAATCCCTTGAACCAAAGAAAACCTTATTTAAAATAGCTGTCAACTGTTTTAGATTTAGGTGTCATGCGACTTTTCTCATTTGAGCTATTGGAGATTGATCAATGTAGATACCATAAAATATGTTTTTTTTTATTTCAACCCGTATACATACTACTAAATTTACAATATTTAACTTGCACATTATCATTTTTACATGGTGTTCTTGCTGCACCAAAACAGGCGGAAGATTTTGTAATAATTATTTCAATTTTTTTTGACACTGTAATAACTGAATAACATTAGTAAAGTGATAAAGATTGTCATCAATGCATCCCATAAAATTTTTAATCACAACAACATTATTAAGTCTTTTGGCGTCTCGGGCTATTTTTCAAACGTAAATTCCAAGATGGCGGATCCTGAGATTAGATTAGCGTTAATTAAGGGGCAATAGGTGATGCTATAACAAGAACAATTGGATTTTTGGACCTCTAGAAATTATTAATCAACAAGTGGCTTTTTAACTGTTTGATGCACGGATGACAAAAACCGGGGCGGCAATTTTTTTTCGTAAACAATTTTTTTTGAGCGTGATCAAAGTGATAACGTTTTGGGAAAGGCATTTCCGAAAATCACAGTCTGTTAAGAGGGTCTGACAAGCGCGCAACACCGTACAGAGAAATGTGCTTTTTTCATTTCATTTTTTTTTTTGAAAAAAGTGGACGCATTAACAGTGCACATTAACAATCTACATGAGCAAAAGGTATATAAAATAAAATTCTGTAACAACTCATGCAGCCAATAACAATATAAATTGTGCAATCGGAGAATATGATTTCGAGAATAGAAAATAAAACTGCTTCAGTTTTAACGCATACTTTTCATCGCGCTTCCTTAAATTTGGAACCTCTAATATTTGGTGGTGTAAATGAGTTATAGCGAAAAAAGTATAGGTTAAAAAAGTAGCTCATTACGCCCGCGTCTCTACGTAACGGGCGTCAACAATATAGAACTTCACACCAAAACTATTCACCAGAACTACTTCAAATCGTATCAAATCAACTTCAAACTACTTTTAATGCTGCCGATTCACGGCCAAATCCTTAACTTAAGTCTAACAACTGGAATGTCTCGTATGGAATGCTACGTAACAGTAGTTCTGGTCATTGTAATTCGGAGGGATTTACACAACACTTAACGCACGTTCATCTTAATTTCCGACTTTGTATATGGTAAACTAAGAATGACGCTTCCTTGTTGGATCTAGGCTTGTAAAGGAGTTGTTAAATGTCAAATATATGAATTAAAGTGTTCTTCATAGGTGGGAGAGTGTAACAGCTAAACCTACGCTTGACTCCAAGTAAAATTAGAGTAGTTTTATATGTTCCCTAGAGTAATTGACATATTGAAGGTATAAACGTAACATGTTCAAAAGAGAGCTTGGCGCGACCGCCGCCAGATGGCGCTGTGTTTGTGAGTGTGCGCGTAGCGACGCCAGACTAGCGGCGATCGCGCGCGCAACTGTTTCAATATTCTTTCGCTTATCACTAATTTCGTTACCAGAATAGATGTGTTGTTGATCAGTCTTACCGAAAAATCTTTTTTTTTTTTTGTTTTTTTTAAGTTAGTTTTGCTCAAACTCAGATCGCACTGCTCACCAAATACAAGGGAGAGTGCCCTACATACGATAATAAGATATTGTTAATATTAAAAAATACTACGCTACTAAATACTAATGACTATGATAAGAAAATCACACATGCCTATATAACTATACTATATAGGATTTGCATAAGTTGGGCCCAGGAAGATTGTTCAATATCAATTCACACATAAAATGCTCCCGCAGGAAAGTAGTAGTAGTAGTTCAATTACTTAAGGCTAAGTACAAAAGTATATCGCGCACAGGTAGTCCGCCCACTTTTGAGCTGCCCGTCCAAGTCTAAAGCAGGAAAGTTATGTTGCGTTTCGTGTTTTAGACTTGCACGCGGGGAAAAATGAGCCGGCCAAGGTTGTGTGCGATTAATTGTTGAGCCGTGCCGTGCTCATAGACTTGATGCTCGGGATCCGATCGTAACTAGGATGTATGGGGATTATAAGGGTGTGCTGACCAACTATGGAGATGTACTAATAACTGTAGTCCACAGCAATTTGTATCCCAGACATTAAACAGCCAATTCTTACTTAAAATTGTCCCCTGAATCCGAGAAGACCGTCAAAAATTATGGAACTGTTGACTTTCGGATTCAGCGGACAATTTTACATAGGAGTTGACTGCTAAATGTCCGGGTTACAAATTGCTGTTGACTACTTCATTTTCAGAGACTTTTGTAAACTGTTACAATTGCTTGAATCCATAGTTGGTCATTGAGGTGGAGGCAATCACCAAACCAGAGAGAGAGAGAGAAATAAAATAAAAAAGTGAAAACTGCAAGAACTGGTATTATTAATTAAAAAAGCATTTACAACAAAAAATCAAATAAAACAAAACAATGTACATTTAATTTAAGAACAAATTTACGATTAAATTAATATAATAATAATAACAACAAATGTAGTAATAAAAATAAAGTGGGGGGTTTTGCGGTGGGGGGGGTGTCGACTGCGGGCCGCGTTCTCGGGGTGACTGCCCGAGGAAGTCCGAGGAACAATAGAAAAAATATGGCGCGCGGCGGCGCATTTTTAATATAAAAAAAACAACATAACACTGGTCGGGCAGTGACCGGGAGAGTGCCCGCAGCGGAGACCGGCCCTGCGCGGGGCCCCCCAAAATGCCACGGGGGTTGGAATGGGATTTGAGATCGCGCAACCCCCGCACGAAAAGTCGCCTCCGGAAATGGTGCGCCCAAATCATGATCATGATCATCAATCAAATCAAATAAAAAACAACAACTATATAATATAAATAAAAAATAAGATAATGATAAATTAATGGTACAAAAGTGATAATTTCATTGTGAATGATAATAAAAAAATGTTCGAATAGTTCCTAGCTACTAAGTAAATAGTCTTGAGCGGCGCTCGTGGCATGCTTGCGCCCGCCCTGGGCGCCTATCTTAAACTCGGCAGCATCAACAAAAATATATATATTACTACACACTACTAAAAACTAATTAAAAAAATATAAAAAACACTGATCGGCGACGTATATTGCATGCACCAATAATAATAATAATAATAAAATGCATTTACTAAAAATAAATGTGAATAATAATAATAACATAAAAATAATTAACATAGTAACGGGGAGTTGGGGTGGGAGTGTTTTTTGTTTGTTTGTTTGTTTTATTGGCCGAGCAAGTACGAGTAGGAGGCACGGCGCAGCCGAATCGAGTGTGCAACACCAGCAAAAATCTTCAACTTAAACAATAGTCTCAATACTAATTAATACGGAACGGTGATGAACTATGACGCGTTTCACAAAGAGAGATACTTACGGATAGAGAGAGATTACGCAACAACGGATTTCATTTTTTTTTCTACTAAAGTTTGGGTGACTAGGGTCGCTAACAACGCGGCATCCCGCAATAATAACAACGCGCTATTACTACTAAAAAAAAAAAAAAAAGGAGACGTACACTGCTAACATCATACACGCATATTAAAATAGATCATTATCATTATTGGAAACCGATCATTTTTAATCATCAATCAATTTAACAAACGGCACGCGCCGGCTAAAAACATCTAAGTAATCAAATATAATATCCCTGTTTTTTTTTTCAATCATTTCATCGCATTTAAATGTTGATTTGGTCGTTCGACACACGATTTTTTTTTTTAATGTGGAGATTCTTTGCCGAGAGCAAAGCGACGGCCGTGAGATTCGTAATAAAAAAATATTGTTCATTGTTCACGCGATCGTCGAGAGAAAATCCTAAGAAATAATAATAATAACGCCATGATAGAATTACCAACACTGAGTGCCTAATATTAACTAATTTTGGGCTGCCCAAAATTAGTTAAACCATGCCGGAGTAAATTTTTTTTTTTTGAAATCCGCTACAATAAAGCATATTCTATAAATAACATCAATCTTAAAAAGTTGAGTATTTATTTAATATGACATTTTGAGCAAAATGTAAACTTCTTTTATAGGTACTTACTTTTTTTAAGACGAAATGGAATTAATCTTGAAAAACAACCTAAAATATGAAGAAGAAAAAAACCGTTCACATCTGCAGTACTCAGTGTTGGAAAAAAAAAGTTTCTAAAACCATCATGGCGATTATAATCAACAACAGACCAGCAACGAGCCGGAACCACTCCGTTTCCATAATAAACGATGCGTCAACAAAAAGTGTTGTGTTGGAGTGGCCGCCGCGTGCCGGGGACCCTGTCTTCTTACGCCTGGTCGGTGGTCTTCTTCTACAGCCCCAGCGGGGGAACCTGTACGTACCTGTAGATGTACAGGCGGTAGTCCTTGCTGGCCAGCACCACGGAGCCGTCGTCCATCAAGGCGACGTCGAAGCACTGCGCGTGCTTCACCTTGCTCTCGAGAGCGGATACCAGCTGGCCGTCCTGCGTGAATATGGTCAGGTTGAAGTTGTTGTGGTTGTCGGCGATCAAAATCTCCCCGTTGGCGTTGATTCCGACGCCGATCGGGTAGTTCGTGATGCCCTCCCCCCCGATCTGCCGCAAGTACACGCCCTCGTAGCTGAACACCTTGACGCAGTGCGCGCGGTTGTCGCTGATGAAGATCTCCTGCTTGTCGTTCACCACCACGCCGTTGGGGAACTCTAAATGCTTGCTGCAGCCGAACTTCTGCAGCACCGTGCCGGTCTGGTCGAAGATTATGACCCGCATCACTTTGCATTCCACCACCACGATCCTGCCCTTGTTGTCGACGGTCACGCCGCGCGGGTGCTGCAGGATGTTCGCGCCGAATTTTCGCACGAACTGCCCGTACTGGTTGTAGATCTGGATTTGGTGCGTGGGGGACCTCTCGGTGACGATTATGTCGCCCGAGGTTCGCACCACGGCCACTCTGTTGGGGTACAGCAGTTGCCCGTCGCGCTTGCCGCACTCGCCGAATTGGAACTTGAACCTGCCTTCTTTATCGAAAATCTGGATTCTGTGGTTGTTCGTGTCGGCCACGATTATGTCGTTCTGCGCGTTCACGGCCACGCCGCTGGGTTCGGTGAACTGACCCTCCATCACGCCGAACTCCCCGAATTTGCAGTGGTAGATCATCTTCTGCCTTTTGATCTGCGATTTCGGCGGGAAGATGGCCGTCGACATCAACTTCGAAGTCAAGTCCAGCATGGAATCGGTCGGGCCCGAGTTCGACAGCGAGTAAGGATCGGACGAGCCGTTCTGGAAAATGCTGTCGTTGGTGCCGCCGTTGGACCACTTCTCGTACGGATTGATCGGCGTGTTGAGGTTCAGATCGCCGATGGTGGCGGAGAACGGGCCCAAACTGTTGGCGCTGCTGAACCGCTTGCTGATGATGTTCGATTCGAACGGAGACGTGGATTGGCTCGACCCCGACATGCTGAACGGGCAGTGCATGCCGCCCCCGTTGAGACTGCCGGAACTTCCGTTCACGCTGCTTCCGCTCGAGCTGGTTCCGCCGTTGTTTCCGCCGCCGCCGCCGTTATTCGTGGGTCTCGCGATCGGGGGCTGCTTGCTGGGGCCCACCACCGCCTCGGAGTTCGACCGCACGTAGCCGAACGTGTTCCTCACTCCCACCTGTATGGCTTGGTAGTTCGACACGAATTCCAGCTCGCAGGCGGACTGCACGCTTTGATCGATGTTGTAGTTCAGCAATCCTTGCAGCTTCGCGTCCAGTAACTTGCGGAACATCAGTATTTCCACGACGTTGGCGCACTTGTTCAGTCTGTCGACGAACTCGCACGTTTTGTAGATTTGCTCGACCGTCTCCTGGCCCTTCTGCGTGGCCACGCCGAGCGAGATCTGCTTGGCGGAAAACACGCTCTCCAACTCTTTGAGCAACTCCTGCTTGCGCTCTTCCAGCATCGATCGGTAGAAGAGGAACGTGTCGTTGATTTCGTTTTGCGCCTTGTGGTATTGCACCTGCAATCTGCTCGACACGTGCTCGACGTTCTTCAGGATGTTCCTAACGTCGGTGGCTTTCGATTTGGCTTCAGAAACGGCATGCTGTATGGCCTCGATCTGCTTGGGGGCGGCGTCGCTGATGTGCTCGTAATCGTGCAAGCCCACGGGGTGATCCATCGAGAGGCACTCCTTGCAAATGGGCACGGAGCACGTGCGGCAATAATACTTGAGTAGCTCGCCCTTGTGGCGCGGGCATATGAGGTTCTTCTCGCCGTTCGGGATGATACTGCCCAAGCTCGAGAGCGTGTTGTTCTTGGGCTCTTCCTTGTTCAGCTCGGCCAAGTTGACGACCCGATGGCCCTCGAAGCAGTGCATGAATTGGTGCGCCATCACGCAATTCGAACAGAGATAATTGGCACAATCTACGCAACGCGCTACGGCGTCCAACTTCTTGGTCTTGCAGCCGGTGCACCTCACCGCTTGCTGCTGCTGCTGCTGCTGATTCTGGTAGTCGCTGTTGTCCGTGTTGAACAGCAGAGAGCTGAGGATCACTTCCACGGCTTCGCTATTGCACCTGGGACAGAGGAGCTTGTTCTTCTCCAAGCAGGAGTTGCAGAAGGTGTGGAAGCAGGAGAGCAACTTGGGGTTGGCGACGGGTTCGCGGCACTGCTGGCAGTGCAGGTCGTTCTGGTCGCTGATCAAGTCTCTTTCCAATGAGTCGCTGACTGGCGGCGTTGAACCGGTGACCGATAGGGGAGAGTCGGCCGGCGACAGCGAAAGGTAGTCCACGTGCTCGCAAAACGATCCGATCGAGTTTGCTCTAGGTAAGGATTCTAGCGATGGGGTTGGTGAGGCCATTTTCAGTTACCCTTCATCCCTGAAACAAAGAAAACACTTCTGTTAGTACACCGATGGCACGTCAACGCACAAAAGGAATTTAATTAAAACGCCTAAAAGCTCATTAAGCAATTCACGAAAGATTTCATTAGATAAGCTCGACGACGGATCGTTTATTAATTATGCATTGCCCAATTAACCCATGCTGCTTCCTGTCGCATTTAACATTTTCTCAATCAATGACAAGAATTGCCATGCAAGATTTAAGAAACCTGAATACATTTACAATTAATGTAATGTCGATAAAGAATTTAACTGTCAGATAGACTGGAACTTAACCAGAAATTGATAATCTGGCCCTTAATCGAGTTTCAATGTATGAATCATTTTAACCGAAACATTAACAAGCTAAAAAGGACGCCACGCCGAAATGATGAATCGCCCTTAGACGAGACGCGTTTTTCATGGGGGTGCGAAAGTTCCAGAAATAAAAAACATCGTATAAATACAGTTAGCTGGCTAGCTAGTCAGATAAATAGAGTGAGATGGAGTCGGTAGGTGCAAGGGGTGCCAGTCTCCCGAAAATACGTCGGGGCCGGTGCAGCAATAATTTAACTCTCGGGGTGTGCAACCCCTCTGCCGTTGCCTAGGCAACACGTCGGTCCCCTCTCGGTTGCCACCACATCGATCGCACCCCCTCCCACCCCTCCAGACTAGTCCTGCCGCCCCTCCCCCTCTCTCTCTCACTCACTCGCTCCGTCATCTTTGCAATGTTATTGTTTATGTCATCGCATTACAACAATGTTAACTCTCCTTAAAATATTAATAAGAACGCACAGAGAAGAAGAACAAACGGAAACAATGTTGTTCGATGTCCATTGCGTCGAAATTCCCGGGCCGCCGCCGACGGCGGCGCTGGCGGTTCGTCGACCCCTGCATGTGCATTTTTTGCCCGCGCCACAGTCGGGGGCGATTAAAAACAAATCGAGACCGCCCCCCTCCCTTTTCTTCCAGACAAACCATCTACTTTCTTGTTTTGGTCAATTTAATATAGTATATTACGTATCAAGTTTGACAAACGCCCTTTTAGTCACGAATTAAATTTAGTCACGATTCAGCTTGCGAGCGAGTGCTTAATTAAATGAGTGCCTAGAAAAGTTTATAAACGAGTTGCATACTATACGTTTTCTACGACAATAATTAATATTATCTAAAAAATTATTTAAATCGACATCTATACGAAATGAAGTAACCATCACAATAAACATTTTTGACGTAATTTTCACCATTAACATTGCCCTTTATTATTTTGCAAAATATTATCATAAAGTATTAAAGATGTTAAAGGTACAAAGAGTGACAGTTGTATTTATTGGAATTCCCGTTAGGGTTTCTAACTTTGGAATCTACCGGCATTAAAATCTCAAATTTTATTATGTGAATCTATTGAAAATAGACTAACAATCGATATAAAAACGGGTGTTTTAAAGGTGGGAGTAGAAAAAATTATTTTTATTGCAGAATTTTTCCGACATTTATGGTTGCAGTTCTAACTTGGTTAAAACCTTAATTTCTCTAAAAGCATTTTTATCTACTCGAAGCAAGTTCTCAGTGACGCAACATTTTACATAATAAGTTTACAAGTTCCCGACAGTAGTCAATAGAATCCAGACATAAGTTGTTCGATGCATAACAGAGCCGGGTTTTGTTTTTCTCTTTCATTTCATTAACGAATTTCGGGTCGATAAAAAAGGTCTACTGCGTCATCAAGTAGGTACTTGTTGAAAGCAAAACAAAGCAACCGATTGTTTCCCACCACATAGAGTAGTTTTACTTTGATTCATTTATCACAACATTTTTATTTAAAACTCCGAAATGAAAATAAATCATCAGGTTAATAAAAATCATTTGTTCGAATCAGATCAAAAGAGGGGACTGAAAAAGGGATAACGAAGTTTTTCCAGGACTTTTCAGGAGCTACAGATTCTGAACCGGCCGGGTTCTAAAGGAGATTAGAGAACGATTTTTCATTTGCAATTTGTTGAATAAAATTTTTCTTTGTGATACACACCAATATTAGTTCTGCCGGTTCAGCTCTTATTTCATATAGATTTATTGATGAAGATTAATGAAAATATCGTTTTCCCATTTGCAGCGTAATTTGCCAGGAAAATTCATTGTGTTTTCCGCAAAGTATGAGTCACCAGTTTGCGGCAATTATGTTATTGGACAGGCGGCCGCTTTAACATAAATATACTGTGCCTGGTATTAGAACGTAATTTGTTCATTTGCATATTTGCTAGGTACTTATTGTCATAACGAAAAAGAAGCCACTAATAATTATCATAAACAGTCATTTGTATCCCGGACATTTAGCAGTCTCTACGAATACAAAAATGTCATCAAAAGTTATAAAAGATATAGTCAATTTTCCATATAATATGGAAATGACTATATATATCTTAAAAACTGCTCTCCTTTCATTATTTTTAAAGGTATTGTAGCGAGTACCGCTCTGGATCTCGAAATGATGACTCATCGCCGGTGAGTCAGCGCTCGAATAATGGAGAGCGGTGTGGAGCTCGCTGGAATATTCGGGAAGGCACGTAGGCACTGAATTATATATAAGGAACGGCGCAGCATGGAGCAGTCAAGTTTTGGTACTCGCGACGAAATAAATAAATATACGTGCAAATAAATAGACTCTTGAACAGTAGTGATATATAAATGATTAGTAGTTAATTGTTTAGTTATTTTCTTAGTGTTTTAAGTGTAATTAAGTTATAAAATAAATAGTTTAGTTCGTTAATAAACCAGTGCGTGTTTTATTTCACACTACGAACAGTAAAAACGTTACAGTATGTTCGGATTCAGGAGACAATTTTACATAATAATTAAATGTTCAAAATACAAGTTTCACCAATCATTTTTGACTAATGCATTTGTAGAGAGTGTACAGTTCTGTTTTTTTTTTATGAATTGGTATTAGATAATTTACTTTCTATCGAAAATTATCTATATAGATAGTGATTGATGTATACTGTCTATATTTAGTTCATTGTCGATAAAATGACGCAAATTTTCATACAAAATGTTTATTTACAAGACATATTTTATATTCCAGATTTGTATCTTATTTCGCATGATGGATCTGCCGCTTGACTATTTCTATAAAACGTATTTTGTTATGTGCATTGCCCGGACGTGATATTGATTTTATGGTCAAACGATTTTAGAGAAGTTTAGCAGTGTGCGAAAATAAATTGAAAATTTATTTTGAATAACGACAATTTAGGCAAAACTACAAAATAATTTAATATTGTGTTTTATTTTTGTTTATTAAATAGTAATATAACAATTTCACTCCTAAATATTGTTTGTACAAATTTTAATAATTTAAATAATATTTGTTTTAAATCAAAAAATCAACATAAATCCAATAATATTTCATTAAATTAATTAATGTTGTAAACCTGATGCTATTTGTTAAGCAAAAAGATATTTATTGAAATTATATATAACTATGAAATATGGTATCACATTTAAAATTTAATTAAAATGAAATCAAAATTTTACATTTCATTCAACAATATTCCACTAAATTAACCTCTTTAAATTTTGCAGAAGTTTATAGTATGAAAAAATTTGTTTGTTTGTGATATACATTTTTATTTACTATTCTAATTATAACCTATAAAAGTTATTCAAAAAGTTTTTAAAAACAATGCTTATAGATATATATGGCCTTTGTTAGAATGCATTATTTAGACACCACACCCCTAACTATTTGACGTTATCAACAAACATCTGCCGTTTTCTACAATATGCATCTGTCAGGGACATGCATATCGACCCGATATTTAAAAAGGTCGAGGGAAAAAATCCACCACTATTTGTTTAGTCGGTTAGCAGAGAACAAAGAAAAATCGGGCTAAATTTTTTGTCGTTACGACCTTGTTGATAACGAAACAGATAAAAAGATTAGGTGATTAAATAAAGCAACAAAAATGTTAATTGAATAAGGCTATTTTTAAGCTGGACTGGGTTTATGTAAAGGTTACATAAGACGTTTATTAGATTAGTTTTTTAGTAATTTTAGATTTTGTCCAATATTTATACAATATTATTGAAAAACAAACTAATATAATTGCGGAAATGGGTTTTTAAACAAAATTTCTTATCTTCAAAGTTACATCATCTTGTAAGGTCATATTATGACGGCCAAAAACAACTTTTAGGGAAATGGTTTTAAACAAAATAAATATGTTAAACCGCAAGCAAGTAAATATTATTTTTTTAAAGTTAGAACCCATACTTTATAGAATACTTTATACGAACTTGTATGATTTAAAGCTTTGTTTTCGAGGTACAGGGTGTTTAGTAAGTTAAGATTAAGCAATTTAAAATACAAAAAAATTTGCTTGTGGAAATAAACAAATTTAATTTTGTTTTGAAAATTAAGTAAGTTATTGAAAAAATGCACTTTAATTACACAATCTAAAAACAATAGCGCCGCCTCTGGATTAAGTACCTAAATTAAATTAAATTACTTTAAATTAAGCCTTTTATCCATTAGTAAAATTTTATTACATTTGACCAAGAAGTTTTTAATATGTTTAAATGTTCTATCGACTATGTACTAAATTTTCCCGATTAAAATTTGACACTCTAAAAAATATTAAAAATAAAAATGCTGGATACAAAGTTCTAGATCTTAAAAATATCTATAAAATTATAAAGAGTTTTAATATCATTAGCAACCGTTTTTTAAACATGATAAATACAATATATAATAGTTGTAGGTACACCTTGAAATTATCAACAAAACATAAACAAAAACTTGTTGACTTAAGCGCCCTCTTCTTTTTAAGAAGTAAGTTTTGTCTTTAAACAATTATGTTGAAAATTTAATGCTCTATATTTTTTCCACCAATAGGAAACGAGACAAAACTATTCAAAACATAGGAATCATCGAAAATCTAGCCAGTTGGGAATTTTTTCGATGCACCCCTTATTTTTCGACAGAATAACTGCACAAAA